TTGCAGACACCAACGTCACAGTAATATTCCTTACTATAAATTTGTCCTTTACTGCTCCAATTGAAGTCGTCTCTGCATGTGTGCTTTGAGCTGTAGGTAGATGCCTTCCATGTGACGGTTCACTACTGCCACATGCCTCCCCCCATCACAGTACAGCAAGGAAACGCTGATAATGGTGCGAAAGTGGAGACGAAACCCAATTCACAATTTGTCTACATCTCCTTCCAATCACCACCTTCTCCACGAACTGGATGTGGAAGATGTCGCAAATTCATTGGGCATTATTCAGTTTTTCCGTGGCCTTTTGCAAGAACAACGCATCTGCTTAAGCTGAAGACAGCATCTCCTCAACATCCTCTCACTCATTTATTTTCTCCGACACGACCCACTCCCTACCGCCCGATCCGCCTTAGTCTAATTTTCCCTTCCCTTATGAAGACCATCGGCATTTGCGATGTCTGTCCCACTTCTTCAACCTCGAGGGGATCCAAAGCTGGTCTTCGGCCCGCATTCTTTAGTCCCCATTCCTAATTCCTCGTTTTTGGTGTGTAGCAATTAATTGGCCGAGTTTGGCCTCATGTGCGACCGCAGGTTCTGCTTCCTACCCTTCCTCTTTTAATTGACAGCTTGCATTGATTCAGTCCCTTTTCTTACACCTTTCCCGTTCCAATGGCTGAACCTAAAGGCCATGTTACCAACATTAGGTAAATTCGTATCTGGGAAAGTAAATTAGCACTACTGAGCTGGGCATCTTTCATCAGCAATAACTTTACATACAAAAAAGCGTGGTAACAGGTCCTGGATTTACATATATGCTTCTCCATGCCATGGATATTTTTCCATTGTGTCAGGTCTTCTCTGAGCGAGGGTGGATTGGCTGCGTGAAGGTTAAAACAATCTTGAGAGTATTGTCATTACTGCCCATTTAAGCAGGTTTGGAGTGTTCGAAGTGGCTCCAGCTTTACGAAGGCATGCCTTAACTGCATGGATTTCCCCAAAGCCCAAATAGCAGCACTGTCACTGCTTCTCTATTTGTCAAATGATGGATAGTTGGATTTGTGGTTGGAAAGCAGGGTTCACATGATATGGAAACATTTCTTTGTCTTGTTTACATTTGAAGGCAAAAGGCGTAGTCGCTGAGTGGCTTGCAGCCATAGCTTTCCACCAACCGTAACAGTAACACACTTCTCTTTTCCCTTCTGTACAGATCATATGAATCTTTACAGTGACTTGAGACTCATTCCTCACAGACTGCTACCTCTTTGTATTCGACGCATTGAACTAGTTGTTAGCTTAGTCACTGGCTCGTTCATTTGTGTCTGAATAATTTTAACCGCAAAATCAGTCAAAGGTTGCCCTCGCAAAACGGTTAACTTTAAACGACTGGACTCTCATTCCACATGGTGTGGCTGATACTGAAGGAGTAAGAACTCTAGTTGCGATTACTGAGATACTATTTTCTAAGGCGTCACCAGAGTCTTCTCGAATTCTGCGTAGTTGCGATCGCTACAAGACATTTGGATGTGCCGTATGTTTCTTGTATTGAATTCATACTTACTCCTTATTGTGCGGGAATCTGGTTACTCCACTAGCCGCACTCCTTCCTAGTTCCCACTTTAAATTCGTGTGAATCGGTCTCTTCAGGTGGGAACTGAATAGGGTCCGCACTGGAGGTATGATGTACGAGAGTGCCGGGATCGAGACATGGTCAAACGCTCAGCTCTCGCCACTATTGTTTGTATCTGGATCTGAAGTCCCTTTATAGCGGTGTTCTCCACAACGCCCGCCTTACACCAGCATGCTTATCAATGCAGCCTGATGAAGGACTTCGGAGTGGAAAAGTGGGTTATTATTCTAACGTCAAAAACCATAGACAGTCTTCGCCTTTTGCAAAAGTGCTATTGTACATGCTTGATACATAATGACAAATTTTATCATCGTAAGATCTACTGGCTCCAACATTGTTTAGAACTTACCCAGCTAGGTGATTTGAGTTTTGAAACCCAAAGTTGAGAGCTGTTACACTGACAGTGTTGGAAGTAGAATCAGGATCATTTCAAACGCTGAACTTCTGATCAACCTTTCCGTCGACATTGTCATCAACTTATTCAATCTCATTGACCCTCGATTATGCTTGGAGTTATGAGCGAGAAGCCATCCCTTCTCCATTTTCTCTTTCTTTTGATCAGCGGAACCCAAAGGTCCTTCTCCAGCAAGAGCATTACTGTCGAGAATCCTAGAAAAAGTACCTTGGACATGGATATATGCTTTTCCATACCATGGTTGCTATGCACAGTACAGATTCATTCGGCGTGAATAGAGGGTGGTTTAAGGCATCACTTGATCCCCCTCCTGTTTCGGGCACATCAAACAATCGAAAGTGATGCCAGATCTCCTTTAAACGAATGTGAATTCGTTGTGTGGAGGTTCGTGCAATATTCACAGTGCTGGCATTACTTTTCTTTGAAACATCTTCAGATGAATGGAAGGCGGTCCTTCGCCCATCTCCCCTTCAACGAGGATAGTGTCTAGGCGGCGCCGGTCGTCTATCGATTAAGTCACAAAATGAGAATAATATTTTAAGTTCTCTGCACAAACTCTGAGCAATATTGGAAGAGTGGCACTTTTGCTGCATAGACACCTCTTGACTCAGGCCGTCTTCGCCCCGAAGTGGTGCAAGAGAAAGCAACACTGACTCGACAATGACAAATGACGGTTGGCCGAGGGAAATTCAAACCAAGGGAGCGAGGTCAGGACAACATTTTCTGGTCTACATGGCTACGCAGTAGGCCAAGAACACAGCCTTTGTAGCATTCACTACAAATGGGCTACTGTCTTGTCATCCAGTCATGGCGTCACTGCAATTGTTCTTGCGATGGAGCTACCATTGCGCAGGCGCCAAATCCACTGCAATGGCACACATTATTGAAAGACAATATTTCGCCTAGAATTGCACATGTTTGACCAGTGGGGAATGTGGACTGTTGCACTTGACGATGTTGGTGACGAAATACAGGCATTACGCTGGCCACTAACCAGCGTTGAAATGTTGGCGTGCCTTGAACACGGTAATATCTAATTCACGCTCAGTGCAACGATGTAATTTGACGCAGGGAGGAAGGAAAGGCACAATCATTGGTATAGGGACACTGGAGACCATAGACGCTGGCATCAAAGCGCGATTGCGAGTGAAGTGTGAATCCGCTGAGGGGATGCTCACAGGTGACGCAGACAGATAACAAGGGGAAGGACACGAAGCCCGACTGTGTGGCTGTGTAGGTGCAAAGTTGAGAAGAAGCAGAGGTGGGAGTTACGGCTGTGAAACTGCAATTCTGCTTTGGTGCACACTCACTAGTCCATTGCCAGTTGCATTTTACTCTCTTAGTTCACTTCACCTTCTAACAGTGGTCGAGATTCGTCCTCCTCCACCGTAAAGTGAATGCCACTTTTCTTGTTGCTAAATATCCACCCCTGCCATTTACAGCCCTTACTCCACCTGTTATTCCCAATCACAAGTGTCAAGAGAAAAAGTGATTCCGCCTTCATAATTTGCAACTACACCCCCTCCGAGCTCTTGTCCGCTCTCTATGAATCTCACGCTTCTTCTTTACTTTTGGAGTAGATTTCCAGAATGTTAGATGTAAGGTTGATAAGGTATCACAAGCAACGCAAATCCCGGTGATAGAAAATTTGCACTGTTGACCAAAAATAAAGCACAAGTCACTGCTCTGTCTGTTCTAAAAGCAGTGGGTGTGGTGAAGAGGTCATTTTTTTTCCATGACTTGGGAAAAGCGGAGCAGCCCGTCTACAGCACCCCTTTTAGGTTGGCTATTTTACGCCTTTCCTGCAACAACCCAAGTAAATTATTGGACAAGACAAGTCGGAAATAAAAGCACAAAAACACTACACTTCTGGTGAATACACAGGAGATCTAACCACGTAATTTGTCTTTTGACTGGTATAAAGAGGACAATTTTGAGCACCCTCATTTCTCTTGGAGATCACATCGCAAAAGCCCCATTTCAACAGATTAGACGAGTTGATGAAGTTCCACCGATGGCGTTTGAGGCACCAAAATTACCATTTTTAAAAGTAGCCAGTGTACTGCTACTAAATCATCAAGGCTCCGAAGGAATTTCACTGTACAATCCGTCTCACTTGTCTTATCTTCAGTCACATTCACGATGACT